GAATATTGAATATATTATATATACATTTATTGATGTGATGTTCCAATTAACTTTCTATTATTAAACTCCGTCACTTGTATCTTTTAGGAACACGGATCGCGATTATGGGCATTCGTATTAGCTTGCTATTGGGTATCGTTCGTTACATATTTCCTTTTATGGAAAGCATACAAACACGTATCCGATCTACGCGCCGCCGCATTAATGTCACCGGAAGTAAAAGCCGAGCAATTCGCCATTTTAGTCCGCGACATTCCAACATCATCGGAAGGCCTTTCTCGAAAAGACCAAGTCGACGCATACTTCAAATCAATATACCCCGACACCTTCTACAAATCACTTATAGTAACCGAAAACAAAAAAGTCAACAAAATCCACGAAGAATTAGAATTTTGTAAGAAAAAACTCACCCGAACCGAAACCATAAAAGAGATGAACCCGGAAGCTCCGACTCCGACCCACAGAACCGGGTTCCTTGGGCTCATTGGTAAAAAGGTGGATTCGATCGAATACTACAATGAGAAAATTACCGAATTGACCCCGAAACTTGAGGCGGCGCAGAAAGAAACGGTGAAAGAGAAGCAACAAGCGGCGGCGGTGGTGTTCTTCACTAATAGAGTAACAGCGGCTGCGGCGGCTCAAAGCGTGCATGCACGGATGGTTGACACGTGGACAGTTCTAAACGCGCCGGAGCCCCGACAAATTATATGGACGAATTTACCGAAATCGTTTTACGCACGGGAGATCCGACAATACGTTGTGTATTTCATCGTATTCTTGACGATATGTTTTTACATGATTCCAATCGGGTTGATTTCGGCTTTCACGACATTATCTAATTTGAAGAAACTGCTTCCGTTTTTGAAGCCGATTCTTGATCAGGATATGATTAGAACAGTTTTGGGGGCGTATCTTCCACAACTTGCGCTTATTATTTTTCTCGCTTTGCTTCCGAAATTTCTCTTGTTTTTGTCGAAGGCGGAGGGGATTCCGACTGTGAGTCACGCGGAGAGGGCGGCGTCGGGGAAATATTTTTACTTTTCGGTGCTTAATGTGTTTATCGGTGTTACAATTGGTGGGACCCTTTTCGATTCGTTTAAGGATATCCAGGAAAAGCCCGACTCCATAGTTGACAAGCTGGCAACAAGTCTTCCTGGCAACGCTACTTTCTTCCTCACTTTCGTGGCTCTCAAGTAAGTAGTTAAAGCTCCTACAGAACAAAACAGATTGTAACTAAGAATTTATGTTGATTTATTTTTTATGTTAAAATTTAGGTTTTTTGTTGGTTATGGGCTGGAGTTATCGAGAATAATTCCATTGATTGTATTCCATTTGAAGAGGAAATATCTTTGCAAGACTGAATCAGATATAAAAGAAGCATGGATTCCAGGAAATCTTGGATATGCAACAAAAATTCCTAATGACATGCTAATTCTCACGATTGTTATCTGTTATTCAGTCATTGCTCCTCTAATTATTCCATTTGGGGCAATATACTTTGGACTAGGATGGCTAGTCTTCCGGAATCAGGTAACCTATTTTTTCAATAGTCACATCGTGGTGACTAAACTCTTTGTACATCATAGTATTTGTAGGATGTACAAAGAGTTGACCGGTTTCCTACATCATCTAGGAAACCGGTCAAAATTAAGCTGTGATTTATCAAGCTTAAAAGTACGTTGTCATATCGTGATCTTTCAGGTACTCAATGTCTATGTTCCGTCCTACGAGAGCTACGGGAAGATGTGGCCACACATCCACGTGCGCATCGTGTCCTCGTTACTACTGTTCCAACTCACAATGGTGGGTTACTTTGGAGTAAAGCAGTTCTACTTCACCCCAGTCATCTTCCCACTTCCGATAATGTCTATCATCTTCGCGTTCGTTTGTAGCAAAAAATTTTACAGGTTTTTTGAGTCCTCAGCACTTGAAGTTGTGAGCCATGAGTTAAAGGAAACTCCAAATATGGAACGTGTATTCAGATCCTTCATTCCTCCGTGTCTTAATAGTGAAGAAGAGAATGAAGAAGAACAATTGCTTAATGCCGAGAGAGGAAATGTTAAACAGTATGATGATGCGTTATCGCAAGTTTCGAAAATAGGGGCGAATGTTTGAGAGGAAGGAGGTTGTGTGGTTGTGATTTGTGTAGGGTAAAATGTTAATTTGAGATGATGTGTTTTGTTGATATGATTAGTTAGGGTTTAGCTGTGTGGATGTATCATGTGTTGTTTGTTGTTGATATTGTGTGTATTCTTAGTGGAAATAGATTGTTAAAACTCCAATTTGTAAGTTGTAACACACATGTGGTTAAAATAGATAATCTTGTATGGTTTGGTAATTTTGTAAGCTGTGAATTATTGATAGAATGATTTGATGAAATGATATTTCCACATTATCGTGGATGTTTTAATAACATCTAATTTGATGTTTTGAACCCTTGGTTTTGTCAATGACAAAAGTTTCTATGTTTTATTTTCTACCGTTTTAATATAATATTTATGTCAATTCATCATAATCGTGTTCATCATCTCATTATCACTTAGAACATGAATAAAAATAAAAATATCTAAATGGAAAGACATGAAAAGGTAAGAATAAAATAACCCTATTCTAATTATTTTGATACCAAAAGAGTTGATAATGGTTATGCTTTCCCTATGCTTCCATGTAATAACAAAACCCTTTTGGATTATTCCTTATTTAATGATTATGCCACATTTATTTTGATTATTTGGGTGATTTTTTTCGGAAACAGCAAATAGATATATTAATAAAAAGTCCAATCTAACAAGGAGCTAGAAGGGGCAAGAGAAACAAAAGAAGTTCAAAGGAAAATTACAAACAAGAGAAAGGAGAGATCAACCAATCCACACATTTAATATCCTTTCTACCCCCTCTATGCTTACACCAAAGAAATACCATCATAATGGTGTTATCAGCAATCTTAGTAGGAGAGATGTATATGTGTTGAAATACTTTCTCGTTTCGAGCTTTCCAAATCCACCAGAGCATACCGTAGCAAATAGCTACAAGCATCTTCTTTTACTTCAGGCAGTCAGGAAGCAGCGAAGTTAAGAAATTCGCCCACCTGAGTAAAGTTTTGGTTATAAATTCCACACCACTTCAATATCCATTCATGCGTGATAGCAGCAGATCGACACCTCACTAGGATATGGTCTGGATTTTACGATGTTTCGTTATAATAGCAGCAAAGCTTAGATTCGACAGGATTACCCCTCCTTTTCAAAGCCACAACAAATGGAATTCGACCCATAATGGCTCTCTAGATAAAGCACGTGACCTTGATTGGAACTAGTTTCAACCATGAAATTTTAGAATCGAGTGGACAAGGGAGAGATAGGTCAAACTTGGACATGATTATACTAGTCATAAATTTCCCATCAGGTGCTAGATCACACTTCCAAGTGTCCTTAATATTATTTGGGTGAAATGAGGATATCTCCTGAATCAGTTGGGACAGTAAATGAGACATATCGATAACTTTAATGTCTATTCTCCAGTTGCACTCAAATCCACCCGGTTTAATGCGATCATCCGCTTTACATTATTTGATTCTCTCCGGTTTATAAAGATCTGATAAATTTGATTTTAATGTCTCATCTCCGGTCCCTTCGTCCATCCAGAAAAGAGTGTTGTTGCCAGACTGAACCACTCTCTTTACTATATCAGTGTGGCGTAATCCAATGTTCTAAATGTCACAAACTGTTGCAATGTTATTCTATACATTCATGATGCTTTTGTTTGACATGTAATATGTTGGCTTGCCCAACAAGTGGTAGTGGATACCACTAATGATAGCTTCCCATAGCGAGTTACGATCTGTGCGAAGTTTACACCACCATTTTGTCAACAGGGAAATGTTGAGGGAATGTAATGAGCCCACTCCAAGTCCCTTCATTTTCTTTGGAGCTATGATCTTTTTCCATGAGATCCATTTTATTTGGGTGACTAACCCTTGTTTTATGTCAATTACACTAATAGTTAGCATATGGTACTAAAAGAATTGATAATGATTATGTTTCGTATTCTTTCATGTAAACAATAAACCCCATTTTTATGGGTGTTGATCCATATACAATAGTGTTTAGCCATACACAACAATTTGTGATTATATATTTGTACCATACAACTCCATAAAGTATAAATTGTTGTGTATGATCAAAAATTGTTGTGTACGAATCACTATCTATATTTTATTCCCTTTTTTAATGAGTATGTCACATTTCATTTTAATTAGTAGATCTAGGTTTGGAGTATCATCTTTCTTCTCATTCCATATTAATAAAGCAATATAATAGGTAATATATTCTCATTAAAATTTTTGAAATGCATTAATTATAAATAATAGTTTTAATAATTAAAATTAATATATTTCATATTTAATTATAGTAATATTTCTCATAATTAATGCATCTTATATTTACCTTCAAAACACCTTTTTGAAAATCTCTTCATAAAAACCGACAACAAAAGACGACATTAAAATGACTAGTTTGAAACTAGCCGAGAAAGAGCACAATTAAATGACATGTACACACAACACAAGCACCCACATATCAGTTGAAACTTTGTTTTTATTTTATGTTCATTACTAAAAGAATATCCGATGATTATATTTCGGTTTCTTGATTTGATTTTTATTTTCGTAGTAAAGGTGGGTTCATTAATATAAAACGCTATAAGTTAGAAATTTCGTATTATTTTATGGGTTCTAAGTTTTGAAAAAAAATATATTGGTTTGGGTAAAAATTTAATAGTTTGGCCTTCCATTTTCAGGAAAAAGACATGAAAAAACCAGGCCACCTGGCCCAAAAGGTGTTATGCGGGCCTCCAAGAAATAAAGAGTATATTTTGATACACATTATATTTGTTTGATGTCAGATTATTTATTTATCGAATTAAAATATTTATTTCAAAGTAAGTCCATTTGTAACACCATCAATTATATAACAAAAAAAAAAAATCATATTAACATATTGCTACAAATCATAATTTTCTTCTTCTTCAATAGGTGAAGGTACGTCTTCATTTTCCCTTTTAGGTCTAATCCATCTCCCAAATTCATTCGAAACCAACCCTTTGTTGCTCAATTGATACCAATACGCAGGAATTCTAAGCTCATTTACAAGCATATCACAATACTTATTCACAAGTGCCAAATCCCGTTTAGCATCCGATCGAAAACTCGAATTGCTACTCACAAATCCATCAACAAGATGTAGATACGTCTCAGGATGATGAACACCGATGAAATTCGACCCACGTTTCAGAAAAGGTGAAGCTCTTGCATCAAGCTTCAACTCTGCTCCAACATGGTGGTAAACCCAATCAAGGGTACCTGTCAAATCATCGAATTTTTGTAAAGTTTCATTGAAGACGATACCTGGCATTCGAGGGACTAGATCTTGTTTGATTGTGATCCGTAGTGCTTTGACGCCTCTGTGGTGGAGTTCATCCCTGAATGCGATGTTTCCGACTCTAGGTGCACCGAAGGAGATCACGCTTATCGGAAGAGTTGGAAACGTCATGGCGGCGTCGTACGCGTTCAGTAAAGCTAACGCGCCGCCCAGGCTGTGGCCGGTAATCGTGAGACTCACTTGTTCGCCGGTTGATTTGTAGAACTTCGTTAATCGTTTTATCTCTTCCATTACTTGCTCCGATGCACTGGTTTTGTTGTATCGTGTTGACATACGCTTCGATTTGTAGATACTCAGAAACCCTCGCTCCACCTTCGCTTCTCCGTGCCCTAATGGCTCGAGATCTCGTTGCATATCTTCATACCATTCGGAAGGAAGCACAGTGCCACGCCACGCCACCACGATGTCTCTTCTTCCGATCCTCTTCGATTCAAGATCATCACTCACAGCGATGTAACCCATCCAATTGGAATCCTTACTCCATGTATCAGTCACGTATGATTTCTCAAGCCATCTAGGGATTTCAAATTGCGACATGGCGTAAATGTATTTTCTCACATCATAACCATGTTTCGTAAGCCCTAATTTTTCGAAAAACTTCCGGCGATTAAACAGACAGCTTCCACAATACTCCGAGAACGAATCAAAATCAAAAGCGTCGTATGTCGCCTGAGAAAACTCGCCATATTTAATCAACTCTCTACGAACAAAAGGATGAAGCGGATCAAGGAGGTTTTCCCAATCGGAACAACCGTGGATGTCGCGCCATATACTCGAAATGTCTTCCTTCGGTGACATCGTCGGCAACTCCAGCTTCGCCTCCGCCTGAGCAACAACGTTCCAGTCATTACGGTGGAGAAAGTTCTTCAGCGATGGCTTTTCGATATACAGATTCAAGAGGTTTGAGATCGATTTCGCTAAGCGAGTTGACTTATTTGATCTCTTATCACCATCGTTAATGGCAACCTCGTTGAAAGAAGCGGTTATCACAAGGCGGCAGGCGTGGTTGTGGTTAGCAGCTGAGAGCAGTTGATGACAGTGGTTGACCGGATTCAAAGTGGCTACCATGTTAATCAGATTAGGACTGAGAATTGAACGACAGGTAGAAGAACTTGTTTATATAGTAGAAGAAGAATCAAGAATGTACTAAAATTGCTAGATCCAGAATAGGATATGATGTTTTATGAATAATGTACAAGTTACTAAATTGGTACGTGTTTGTATTTAAAAGTTATTGGTGTGGAAAATAGAATTTCAGCTTAGATCTCTCTAGTCAAAATCTGGCCGCGTTTATTCGAAATTCGTTGGAAGTAACCCAATTTTGGTCAAATGACATATATTCAACATGTGTTCACAAATTTTCAAATGTTTATAAAAGTAGCTAGAAAATGATAGTAAATACTTGGAATTTGATATTTGAAAGCTGATCCATGGTAATTTTTATTTGTATTAAAGTGTTCGATAAAAATAATTGTAAATTTTTTAAAGGTATAAAGTTATATTAATCTAATAATTAAATGTTCTTAAAGGCTAATAGATCTTAAACTTTTAGATTATGAAGTTTTGTTTGAAATAAAAGTTTTAAACTCATCAATTCATATACATATAATATGTAAGAATTTTTTTCAACAATTAGGGGCACGTGCCCCCACATTCCTCTGCCTAAATGTGTTGAAGAGTGGTAAGGTATTTTTTTTTGTTTCTTTTATAAATATATAGAAGATAAGAATTGTAGATTAGTAAAAAGTTACTGATATTAAAGTTAAATAGAATCTACTAACATGTAAACCAAATTTTATGAATATGTTATGCTATCAATATATTATATAAGAAAAAACAAAATACACTTTAATTAATATTAAACTTCAATATCAATAATAATAATTTACTCAGCGTCTCCACAGTCGACCTGGTTGCTTCTGCTCCTGCATTCTCCTAAATCATCATCCCAACAAATATGTCAAATGTCTAAAATACCCTTCATTTCTGACCATAACAAATGCAATCACTCAACATTTGTAATGATAAAACTTTCGCTAAATAAATCAATAAAATGATGAAACCACATTATGCTTTTCTGTATCTTGCCAAAAATTACACAATACAAAACGTGACTTTTTTAATTTTTTAATTTTTTAATTTTTTAATGTTTTACCTCTGATATTCTTTAGAACGTTCAATGAACTCTTTAGCTATATCATTTCCATTGTATGAAGCAAGAACATGTCGAATATCACCAGGCCTATTTCGTGCAATATCTGCAGTTAATAATTAAAAAAAAAAAAAAAAGAACCCATAAATCCCTTTTAATCCAATAATAAAATTTTAAAAAAAAATTAAAAAACAGTGTTTACATTCAAGAAATGGAATAAGATCAACTAATGCAGTGTCATCAGATTCACATTTCCATGGTTTTACTGGAACACAGTTTTCTGGTTGAAGGCAACTCTCAACAGCATTCCCACTCACATACAATATTCTTGAAGGATCTCTATTAAGTTTTGACAAATCCTACCAAAAAATAAATAAATAAACTATTTACCTTGATTATATTTAATAAAAGATTTTATTTAGAATTTTAAATAAACATACTCTATAGTGTTTCCCGTCTTGATATCTAGTTGCAGCTCTTGATAGTCTGTATCTTATGCAGTGGTTTCCATCTAATCTATCAACAACAGGATCCACATACTGCAATAACAAAATAAGGTCTTGAGAATATAAAAATAAAGAAAATAGAGGAAGGGTAAAAAGGTAATTTACCATGGACTGTTGATCGGAATAGATTATAATTTCATAAAATTGGGCTAGCTGTTCTAGAAAGTCATCGACTCCTGGTCTTTTAAATGTTCTCCAACCTCTCTCACGCTTTCATCATAAACATGAAAGAATAAAAAGTTAATTATTAAAAAATTGGAGATATGATTAAATTGAAAAAGAAGGAAAATGTTATATAATTATAATTATAATTAAAATTAAAATGTATAGTTATATTATATACCTTCCAATCAGAGTAGAGTAAAGTTTCATTGAGGTCCAAAACCAATGTGAATACATGTTGCTCTTGTGGATGCAAATCTGGAAGGAGTTTATCTGATAAGGGTTCTGTAAAACCCTAAGAAACAACAAGATTTTTAAGCAAAAAAAAAAAGATTGAGGAAAGAGGTTTATATTATATTATATTGTATTATATTATGTTATATATACACACTCGAACATGTTCTTCTGTAGATTCACGCATCTCCAAATAAAGCTCAACTAATTTAGCAGGAACTGAAAACATTAAGAAAATGGAAAAAGATGAAATACATAAATAATAATTAAAAAAAAAGTAAAAGGAATAGATAAATATGAGAAAGCAATAAGAATGAACCTGTCATTGCAGTTGATTTTAGCATGGTTTGAAATTTCTGCAATTATAATAATTATAATAAGTAGATATGTAAGTCACACTCCAATAGACAATAAGGATGTCTGTTATAAGTCTCATTTTCATTTCACAAGGGTATTTTTGTCATTTTGTCATTCTAATATGTTGCATAATTATAAGTCATATAACTCATACTCACCTGAAATGAAGACAAATCATCACCTATAGAAACTTTTTCCATTGTACGCAAAGCCTTTGTCTTCTCATAAACTTCTTCTAAACTATATGCTGCAAAAAGAGATATAAACTATAAAGCATTGCAATTGTTAATTTGTGATTGATATTAAGAATATAAAAATAAAGAAAACAGAGGAAGGGTAATAAGGTAATATACCATTTACCACTACACTCACCATAGGTGGCATAACCAGCAGTGGCAACACCTCCAGTAACCGCTGCAACTAAAGAAAACTTGAGAAAACTCCATGGTTGTCCTTTTCCACCACCACCTGTGGTGGCAGCTGCTGCAGTTTCAGGTGGAGTTGATGATGATGTGGACTGATCACTCAGGGTAGAAGAAGAAGAAGAAGATGAGATGATGGACTCTTTGGAAGCATTTGTAGTGACACTAGAATACAAATGAATATTCTTGTTGCTCTTCAAATTCAATAATTTGGAGGAAATTCGTTTGGATTGAGTAATTATTGACATTCCTCTTTATTTGGGATCCTGGTGAAAACAATAAATTATTGACAATCGTATATCATGCATGATTTTAAACTAATATTGTTTGAGCGATTCTCTTTATACTGATCTTGAAAGCCAATTTATGTCTTTAAGATGTTGTGTAATGACTTATGAGAGCTCTAAAAATTGTTATATCACTGATTTTAAGCCTCACGAGAAAGCCTTGGGTCGTGAGGTTCTGATACAGTGAATATGAAAACATGAATCGCAGACAATTAAATACTTTTAAACATCATTTACCTCCTAAAACTATATTACTAACATTCTAACAGTGGATCATGACATGTAAATTAACAAATCGAGAGGTGTTTGAATTCATTTTTCGAATATATACTTGAAACCCAACAATGTACGCCAACTTCTCTTGTTTTAGAAAGAATAAGATCACACAAGAGAGGTGATGTGAAAATACACAAATGTGTTTCTTTCTATATAAAGGCATAGTTTGAGTTTGTTAATTCATTTTATCAGTAGTACCAATTTGCCCTAATTTTTTAGGATTTGTTTCAGGGAAAAAACTCCCTTTCTCCAAAAACAATAGACACTGCTGATACAGAGATTTAATCGATAAAATATCTTCAGAATGTTATGTTCCTATTGAACAATTTCAAGGCGGTTGATAATTTTCTAGGAACAGCAAAAATAGGTTTTAACAATTTTGAGGTAAGAAAATCACATGTGACATACAAAAGTCAGATATTTTTCAGAATATTCGCACATTAAGACATGAGGATTACCTATATCGAGCATAGATTGAGAACTGAAGTGTTAGAAATTGGCGTCGATAATGCTCCAATTTGTAGTTAGCTTGAGAGGTGACAGCTAAATCTCATCGTGGCACTAGGGTTTAGCAGAGGGTTTACTGGGAAGGAGATGTAAAAGAGTGCTATTTAGGGTGTTCGGGATTTGCTTGTCAGCTTTAGGCCTTAGGGCATCTCTACTCCGTGTGTCATTTTCACATTAAAATGGCATTGATCCATCCCTAATCCTAATTCCATTTGTTGCATCACGTGTATGTTTAAACGAATAATAATGTTTAAATGAATAATATATAGAGAAAATTACAAAAATAGTTTAATTCCTTAATTATTTTGTAAAAAAAAAACCCTTAAATTATAAAAATAGCCATCAAAATCACAGATGAACTTAATCCATCTTTGATGTTACTTGTCTATCTGCGAACGTACAAATCGCTAAAACACAAATGTATTTTAACGACTTATACGTTCGCAGATGAACTCAGTACATCTATGATTTTCCATTTTTCAGGGGTATAAAAACATAAGTTTTTTTTATTCTTTCATTTTTCAAACTTTTTTTTTGAAGAACTCTCTCTGCATGCACTATAAACCTATAAACGATTTCATATTTTAATTATTTTTCGAAGTTTTGTTGCAGAATTCATTTTATTAGAGATGTTTTAAATAAATATTCTAAAGAAATAAGAGCTAAATTGATAATTTTTTGCAAAACTTTATATATAATAAGAAAAAAAAGGGTTTGGTGTCTGCAATCAGCCGAACTCAAGTAAGTTTTCCCAAAATACTCATACATGTTTATAATATGTTTTGACTTGTGAATTTGTGAATTGCATGCTAGATTAGGGCTACGAATCTAGGAGACATGCCTTTGTATGTCTACTATACGAGTTTATAGAGTTTCATGCTAGTACTGATTAGTCAGTAATAGGATGGCTTAACTAGGTTATGCTTGGTTCTGATTACTTGATGTTCAAATGATGTTTGCTTTGTGCTTTTAGGAGTTCTAGCTAGCTTCAGCTAACTAGTAAACGAATATGCTATGTTACATATTATGGGAACTAAATAATTTTAGAGGGTTAGGTTTTAACTTTATTGCGCAGCTGCTGTTTGAGTCCAACCGTTGTAATTTGAGACCTCTCATTTGAATAATTATCTAGTTTTTGTAATATGTAATTGTATTCATAAGCTAG